CGTATGTGTTTCAAAATGTCTTTTAAATTACTAACAACAAATATGAAAGACTAAGTGCAACGTTGTAACAAATTTCATTTCCGTCCAAGTTAAGAATGATATGACTCATCGAAAACTGTGCAAACGAACATAAACAGTGGCGTAATCATCCGTTATCGACCGACTCCAGACCGATTTTGAATTTGTAAACTGTCATTGCAACGGACAGTTGACATTGTGCTCTGGAGGAAACAATTTGTATCACTCTTGCTACAGATATAATTTGTAATCTGGAATTTTTTGCATACCTTTTTAATACGTATTTAATTGCGGCTCGTGAAAAATTTAAAATTTTGAAAAATGGCTCGGACTATCAAGGAGCTTGGCTACCCTGGCTCTAATATATAAATATTACAAATACAATAGAGCAGCGGTCAGAAACTGGTGGTCCATGGACCATAGATGGTCTGCAAGAAAATTTGGGTAGTCCGTGGAGAAATTGGACATTGATCAACTGAAGGTTATGCAAAGTATTACAAAAGAAATGCAAAGTATTACAAAAGAAATGCAAAATGCTTAGTTGCTTTTTTCACTCATTGGGGATTTATTATTTGAATCTAAAACCAAATACGAAGTGACTGTTATCAATAAATAATGAACAATAAACAATATTGTGAGTGCAATTGTTGTCCTTCGTGGAAAAGCACTAAGAATCCAGAAACTTATTTCAAACAAGCAGTAATGAACTTTAGGCTTGCATTAATTTGTTATAATTAAACAAGCAAGTTTCATATTAATATAGTAAAATTGAACTTTTATGATCATTATTCTACAGATTTTGTATCATTAAAAAAAATTCATGATAGTGGTCTGCAGGATTCAAACTTATGAGTTTAGTGGTCTGTGAGGTCAGAAAGGTTGCAGATCACTGCAATAGAGTACCAGATATTCAACTCTCAATAACTTGACATCCGACAGAAACAACAGAAGAATAACAGAAGCAAAGTATTTAACTTTTGTTAAATGTTGCAAATTTATATTTATTTATACAATTAAGTGTAATACCGTTGGCCATGATTTATATTTACTATTTTTACTTAAAAACTTGACATTCCATAAAACTTGTCCTTCAAAAAGAAAAAAAAATACATGTAACCTAATTTAAACTAACACTAGAGGTCAAATAAGTTATAGTTCTTCACTGGTAACACTTTTACAATAGCATCAATTCCACATGTTAACAAAGAATATATAACCCTTTTTCCAAGTTACATTTGTGTCATTGTGTATGGCACAACTTGTGCCATACACAATGACACAAATGTAATTTGAAAGTAGCCACTGAATAGCCAATATTTTCTAAATTAAAATTTAACTACAAAAAGATTAAGACTTACATAATAAATATATGAATTTAAACATATAATTACCTTTACAAAAATTCAGTCATTTAGATCAGCATAATCATTATCTGCAAAACTTGTCACCTTCTCAGTCCACATTAAGTCTAGTTTGTTGGACTCTACTGCATGACTATAATCAATTTTAACATTTATGAGTCTCTCATTGCTTTTGTGATAAATCTACCACAAGAACAATTATTAAAATTTGAGTTTCACTCAAAAGTCTGTATACATATTGTACAATGCAACTATCTACTGCTAAGCAAATCAAAATCTGATTTCAAAACATAAACCCCAAACCTTATTTGGACCCAATACCCATTTTGAAGAATTTATATGAAAAAATTATATTATTAATCACCTGAAAACTGCAATATAAAACATTTAACATCATTTGGAAATAGAATATTTATTAGAATTAATTCATTCTAAGTCTAAAAAAACTTGGAAATGTTAATGAAAAAGTAGTAGCTAAACTAAAAAATTAATATTTAATTGATTTTGTTTACTTTTAAGAAGTTTTTGCTATGTACCTATCATTCTAAGATAACATAATTATTCTGCTTTTTATTTTAAAAATCAGTTTGAAAGTAAAATTATTCTAATTATTATTAATATACTCATATTAAAATTAAAAAACTGTGGTATATAAATATTCATACATTATTTCCATATGTTTTTTATGTACCTGTCATTTTGAAACAGACTATCATACTACAAATATACAAACTTTAAGCTCCAGTAGTATAATTTAAAATGCAAGCATTTTAAAAGATCAATGAATTCTTTCTATTATTTGATCTTCTATTTTACTTTATCACTTTCTGTATGACCAAAAAAAACAAGATAAGTCACTACAAATAAAAGTTGAAAATCATTGATATTTTAAAGTGGGTTCATATGGTCATACAAAAAATATATTTAAAAAAATAATTTATAATTATTTTCTTACTCATATTAAAAAATTATGGGAATTTCTAATAGATAAAAAAAAAGCCACATCTAAAACGATAAGAATTTAATGGTCATATAAAATAATATAAAAACAAAGTAATAATAATAGT